CAAATATAAGACAAATTGCTGCTTGCTTTTCTCTGTTAAAAGTGAAATATGGCAAAAGTGCAGCATATACAGCAAAATCCTTCAAGCATCGTTCCCTTACATCACTTTGTTGGGAGGGTAAGGAAAGTAGTTTTTCAGAGTATGAAAATATTATTATAAGGCTTGGCTTTGTGGTTTTGGGTAGCAGACCATAGAAGAATGTTTAATTCACTGAAAGAGATAAATCTGTTTCTGAGTTGAATTCCAAGTCCATCCTTAAGCATATTTTCCTACTTGATAAATTATGATCCAGTTTCACTTTGTCAAAAATATTGCCAGTGTTTGTAATGGATACAAAATAGAATTTCTGCAGTTTAGTTTTTCAACACAGTATTTGGCTGAAGTGAATACCAAAGGGCTAAATCACACCATCAGTTCCCAAACAGAACTCTTGATTGAAATCAACGGGAGGGTCTTGCTTAAAATTTTGTGACACAATATGGCCTGTAGTAACAAAACACATGTAATGACATTAAAGAACCTTAATGCTACTAATAGTTTAATGAGACAAAACTGCACCTAGTGAACTGATGTACTGGATCAGATGAATGGCCATCTAATCCTGGCATTCTGTCTTTGGCAGAACGACATTTTTTTCTGATGTGAGTAAGGATGTTAAATATCGGTTAATTTACTAGTCAAGTAGTCAATGAAATTCAATTATGGATTTCCTCATTAAGGATTTGGGACCTATGGAGTTACTGGGATGTTTGTCTGATTGTAATGGGAGCAGAAGCAGGCCCAGAAAGCTCTCAACAGCCTAAACTCCATATTGAATACATATTCAGTACAGTATTATCCACATCTAGAAAAATGCAGAAGATACCCTAAAAATGCAGTTGTAACAACAGGTGTAGAACATGTATATGCACATATATCAATCATCAGGGTCTCCCAGTTCATCACAGGGTCAGACCCTAACTGCATTAACTGAAATCTCTTCCTTATTGAGTTGCTTATATACATCGCTTATATTTTTTCCCTACTGTGAGACGAAATAGACTGGTGGTTAAAGCTCAAGGCTGGGAATCTGGAAATATGAATGCAGGTGCTAGATATAGAATCACAGAATCCTAGGGCTGGAAGAGACCTCAGGAGGTCATCGAGTCCAGCCTCCTGCCCAAAGCAGGGCCAATCCCAACTAAATCATCCCAGTCACGGCTTTGTCAAGCTGGGACTTAAAAACCTCCAAGGATGGAGATTCCACCACTTCCCTAGGTAACCCATTCCAGTACTTCACCACCCTCCTGGTGAAATCATTTTCCCTAATATCCAATCTAGATCTCCCCCACTGTAACTTGAGGCCGTTGCTCCTCGTTCTGCCATCCATCAATACTGAGAACAACCTCTCTCCATCCTCTTTGGAACCTCCCTTCAGGAAGTTGAAGGCTGCTATCAAATCCTCCCTCATTCTTCTCTTCTGTAGACTAAATAAGCCCAAATCCCTCAGCTTCTCCTCATAGGTCATGTGCTCCAGCCCTCCAATCATTTTGGTTGCCCTCCACTGGACCCTCTCCAATGTGTCCACATCCTTTCTTTAGTGGGGGGCCCAGAACTGGATACAATGCTTCAGATGTGGCCTCACTGGTGCCGAATAAAGGGGAATAATAACTTCTCTAGATCAGCTGGAAGTGCTTCTTCCAATGCACCCTAATATGCCATTAGCCTTCTTGGCTACAAGGGCACACTGTTGACTCATATCCAGTGTAATCCACTGTAATCCCCAGGTCCTTTTCTGCAGAAATGCTTCTTACCCAGATATAGGCATCAGTAAGATGTGGATTGTAACTAGGGATGTGAATGTTTAACTGTGCAAATGGTTAATTGATAAGCCTGAATTTATCAGTTAATGTTCATTGCTACATGCAGGCCCCCTCCTTGCTTCTGGGGAGCTGGCTGCTACCCCACGGTGCTGCCTCTGTATCAGAAGAAGCAGTGCACGGGCTGCAGCTGACTCCTGTGCTGCAGGTGTGGGTAAGCGCGTAACCGCTGTGTTTTTCAGTAAGCAGTGGGGTTAAGGCAGGTTTACTCCTTCCCTGGTCCAGCATCACTCCTATAAGCAGTTGGCATGTACAGCAATGGCTCCAGGGTACCATGTGCTGCCCCTCATCTACAGGCACTGAGCCCACAGCTACTACTGGCCAAGGCTCCCTGATATTGATCAATGGGAGCTACAGAAGTGGTGTCTGCAGGCCAGAACAGCATGTGGAGACCCCCTGTTCTGTCTTTCTCAGGGGCTGCAGGGACATGCCAGCTACTTCCAGGAGCAGCAGTTACCACAGGGCTAATAACTCCAACCACAACAGGTTAGGCATTTTAGAACTCACTAGTCAAAGAATTACATTTAAGTGTAAGAGAGAAATGAATATTGTGAAACACACAGACCAGTCAAAACTAAAAAATAACAAACTTTGCAAGCAGTAAAAGTAGTAACAACAACCCATCTATGGCTATGTCTAGACTGCAAGCCTCTTTCGAAAGAGAGCATCTAGACTGCACGTTGAACTTTCGAAAAAGCGGCTTGCTTTTTAGTGAGTCTGGATGCTCTCTTTTGAAGAAGCCCTATTTACATTGAAGAACGCCTTCTTTCGAAAGAGGAACTTTCGAAAGAAGGCGTTCTTCCTCGTGAAATGAGGTTTACCGCCATCGAAAGAAAAGCCGCGTTCTTTCGATTTAATTTCGAAAGAACGCGGCTTGAGTCTGGACGCAGGGGAAGTTTTTTCGGAAAAAGGCTACTTTTCCCGAAAAAACCCCTGAGTCTGGACACAGCCTATGTGTTGGGTCTGGAGATGAGAGTAAAGGACAGTGTGTGTTTGTGAGAATGATGGAGACACACACAGGGTGTGAGAGTGACAGAGATTTGCATTGCCAAGTTCCCTCCATCCCTTTCCCTCTGTGTGGAGACAGGGTACAATAGTGGAGGGGAGAGGGACACCCTGACATCAGCTCCCCCCTCTTCTCCCTCCCACACCTTGCACAGCAGGCTTCCAGGGGGGCAGGGCCAAGGCAGAAGGCAGGAGCAACATGATGATGGGTGAAGGGGCAACTGACGTGCCAGCGCTTGATAGCTTCCTGACCAAACCAGTCAGGATCACCTGTCAGAGGCTCCAAGATCTACCAGTAGATCCCAATCTACTGGTTGGAGACCCACTGACCACAGCCATGGTGGGTGATGAAATTGCTTACGGAGACACACTTTTGAGTTTTCACAGCGCTTTCCTTTGGGTCTGGTCAGGAAGATGGTCAGTTAGTAGCAATCCTATTCAATATAGAGGCTGAATCATAACCGAAGGGAAATATAAATGAGAAAGCATCAAAATTGCTACCTTAGATTAAAATAATGGATCCTGTTGAAAAATTACAGCAACTTCTTCCAAATATTCTCCCGGTAACTTCAATGTTCTATTTTAACAAGTTAAAAAAAAACAACCCTCCCCCAAACAAAACTCTCAAACCCTAGAATCTTGCCTACACATGATAGATCAGAGAAGCAAGCCAAGAAAAGGGCGTCATATTTGGGCTAAGATCAAATTTAAGAGATGGGACAGGATACAAACTTTTCAGCTCATTGGCATTTTTTCATATTCCTTGGTGCCTGAAAATATGTTTGTTGTTATATTAGTGTTGCTCTAAAATGAGAATAAAATTTAATTTCATAGTAAATTGATACTTTAGTGTACTAGCTTTTTTTACTACAGTCAACTAGTCAATGTATTCAATTAAACTATTGAAATAATATTACATTATGATGAATATGTAGGAAAGTAAGTTGTTAAGAAGTTATTGCTGATTTTTCACACTTCCTGTGCTGTTATATAAAAATAGCATTATACCATGAGGTAAATTAAAAAAATGTAGTCTCACATTTCAGTTTGCTGACCATGAACATAATAATTTTTGCTTCTCCTCCAGCCCCTATTAATTAGTTGGGTTTATTAAAAAAAAACCTCTTTCAGGAAAGTCTACCCAAATAATATACAAGTATTACTCATCAGTGACTGGAAGTCATATAATTTGTTTTACATACATGCACATGTCAGTGAACTTTTAGAATAAGTGTAACTAAGTTCTAGCTGTATCAGAGATTAACTGGATATTAATAGGACTATTCTTGCTAAGACATTCTAGAAAAGTTACTGTATATGAATGTATAATAGTCCATTTTTATAATAGCCAAATTCCATGTAAGTATTTCCTACATAGTAGAAGTCTGTACACATTTTTAAAATTGAGTTAATGCTATTTTAACTTCCAAATAGCTAAACAGATTAAACAGCATTTTATAAGGTTTGTTCCAATGCTGAGACCACCACAGGAATAGAGCAATTAAAAAAATCCACAGCCCATTAAAAGCAGGGGCTTTCATGAGACCTGCCGCCGCAGCCTTTCCTACAGACATAAAGGACACTGCTACTAATTCATCTGTTTGTATATAAAACAAAACTGAGCAGTGTAGAAAGGCAAGAGAAACATCACGTGTTTGTGCTTTAAAATATATTCTGCGGTCACACGGTTTCCCCTTCCCATCCCCAAAGTCAGAATGTTTTCCCAAGACCTGGAGATGCTGATCAACCCTCCTGCAATAATAACCCACATTCGACTAGGAAAATTAGGCAAATGTGGAGCCTTAATACGCTGTAAAGAAAGCTAAAGATCCATTTCCAGCTAATGTATTTTATGCTAACACAGGAGAGAAGTTAGCCTGCTCAGAGAGGGGAGAGTAAAGAACGGGAATGCAAAGCAAGTGATGCCAATACCTTAGGGGATAAAAGGACCCGCTTTTCTCCTGAAGCTGGAAGCTCCATCCCGTTTGAATCTTACACAAACGCTCACTGGGGTGCAACTGAGCAAGCTTGTTTACCAGGAGAATAAAGAACTAACAAAACAGCCCGGGAACAGCTTGACCTCTCAGCCGGCACTGCAGCCCCAGCCATCCAATCTACCTCTGCGAAGGGACTTACCACAAGCGTGCAGCACAGGAACTTGTTCATTGTGGTCGGCGTGAGAAACCCCAGGGATCTGGGATGCTAGAAAGGGAGTGAGCGAAAGCTCCGGTGTCCTAGCAGCCTGCTGACATCCCCCCAACATGAAAGGCACGTTATATATATAGCCCCTGCCCTGCTGCAACAGGAAGCATTAGCTCAGCATTGACCACTCATTCCCTGTCAGTGACCAAACTTTTCTCTCTCTCTCTTTCTTTTTTAAGAAACTTGATGACTTAATGGAACCCTGGTTCCAGCGCTCACCGCAGGCTGGGAAAGGCAGGGGGAGTGCCAGGGGCTGGCCTCTGACGGGCTAAGGGGGCGGTGTCTACCTTTCCGGCTCTCCTGACAGGAGAGTCACTCACCTCCGGGGCAAGAGCGAGTCACTGGCGAGCCCAGAGCTAGTAGGGGGGCAGGGTTAAAAATAGCTTCTCCAGGCTGCGCTGCTGCGCGGTACTGGGGCTCCTAGCGCCGCTCAGCGGCTGGTGCAGCTTCCCAAAGCTGCTTGGGATACAGATGATGCAGGCACAGCCGTAGGGGTCTGGCTGCCCAGTGGTCTGCTGCAGGGGGTGGTAGGAGACCAAGGGCTCTCTCCTGAGTCCTCCCTCTCGTGTCATGCAGGAAAGGAACAAGCCCCCTGAGCTCTAGAGCCCTGTGTGGACAGGCCCGACAACGGGGTGGGGACTTGCACAGGGGCCCTTTTGAAACGTCGCAGGAGCGCCGCCAGGTGGCGCTAAAGGGTGACTGCCCTCGGCCCCGCTCCTTCTGACCAAGGCTCCGACCCTTCTCTTGGCTCCGCTCTGCGTAGACACAAAACTGGCATCCACAGCTGCGTCTGCAAAAATGTGTTGCTACCCGCGGAGAGAAAGCAGATAGCCGCAACGTCGCAGGGTTCTAGATGCGAAATTTGTATCCGGGTCTACATTCCCTTTCCACACACATGAGCTGCAGGTGTAGAGACCGCGCTGGTGCCTAGGGTAGTCGTGGGACGGCAGCAGGTGGGTGCTTTGCAGAAAGCGAGCCAGTGCACTAGTGAGGAAGTTACTTCCTTGCGCTACAAGGCGTGGAACATGCAGAAGGTTTAGTTGGAATTGGTCCTGCCTAGAGCAGGGGGCTGGACTTGATGACCTTTTGAGGTCTCTTCCAGTTCTATGATTCTATGAAGGTCTGAGGATCATGATGATTCTTTCTATAACCGATTCTTCCCAGAAAGGGCAAAGATATTCATTAGCTGAAAACAACAAAGGCTCCAGGTTTGTAGGAACCCGTACATTGGCAAGCACTTGCTCACAAGAATAGCCCCATTGATGTCAGCGGAGGTCAGCACTCACCATTGTGAGCCAGGGTTTATTCTTTGCTAGATTAGACTGAATGTGCATGTGTGTGTGTTTTTAGTAGGTCCATGATCCCATTTTGTCTTCTTTCCACTCCCTAGGGACTCCCAGAAGCTCCCAATGTTCCAGACCTCTGCAAACAATAACAGTTTTGCATACCAGTTGGATAAAATCAGGTTTCTCCTTTTTTTCAAACGCATCAGGAACTATATGTCCTTTCCAAAACTTGTAGCTATTGTGAATTGTTTAAAAAGGAAGGAGAAATAGGTAAATTTCTTTGTCCTCCTTAGTTTTAAATTTCCCCACTTAAATTGGGGATAATAACTGCCTGGGAGCAAGGGGAAGAATAATTATTTAATGTTTGTGAAACTGATTGAGATGAGATCTTGATTCAGCTCCTTTGATGCCTTTGTTATGTCCTCTGGCAGGTTAACTTTTTCAGAAGTGTTCAAGTTTTCTCATTCTGTCCCTCCATAAAATATACAAAGTCCAAAATATTTTTGCAAGAACTAAAATCTAATAGCTTTCAAATACTGGCTCTACACTGTAGCCCTAAATCAAACCCTATTATCCATATCTCAAACTTTGGAGGGAACTGGGGTAGAATCCAAGCCTAGATATGGATCCACATTGCACATCTCTTTGTTATGGACTGAACCAAAACTTTACATATATTTTGGAGTGTTTGAAAACTAGACCTCAATTTGGCTCTGAAGTTTGCACATTTGTCCTATTGATTATTGGCTCACAAAATTGTGGGGGAGGGGCTGCAAGAACCTGGAAAGAGGAAAGTTTGCACTTTGTCTGACAAAGGGTCATAAAGAGGAGAGGCATTACCATTGTAATGTAAGTGACTCACTTTAACAGAGCAAAGAAAGTGTATCTGAACCCTTCTGGACACATGCAGAAAACAATATTGTGATATGTTATGAAATTAGAAATCAATATTCTCAATTACCTCTTTCAACACCTGGTATATAGCGTAAAACTCTGAGAAACTAGAACTAAGGGTGGTTTATTCATAAGCAACAGTGGAGAGACTGGAAAAAGGGGAACAGAAACCATAGCACTGAGAGGAGAGGAAATGCTTCTGTTATCTAGCAGGGTGTAAGAGCTAATTGATGATTTATGCACCTGGAAGGTGTGTTGCAACAATTCTTGTAATATTTTACATTTAGTGGTTCCTATTTCCCTAACATTTATTATCATATACTTTGATTTACATTTTAACTTACACGTTGGCAAGGAATTCTGGACCAGATCCACAGCTGATACATGCTAGCCTGACTCTGGCTTCAGAGGAGCTACACTTATTCATACCAGCTGAGGATTTGCCCCTACATTTATTCTGAAAAACATTTTTTTTTAAATGAACAGCTATATACAGCCACTTGGGTTAGCTGCACCATAGAGGTGATTCACAGAGAAGCCAATTTTAAATCCCATCCATAACTTCATAGCAGCCTTCAAGCACCAAACTAAGGGTATGTCTACATAACCAGGAGGTGTGATTGCAGTTTATGTAGGTTTACCCAAGCAAGCTTTGATCTAATGGTGGTTTGTTTGCAGGTGTGAGTAAGGAAGCTGGAAAAGGGTCACAGAAACTCTAGTAATGAGAGAAAAGGACAGGCTGCTGTCTTTGTGCTTAAGCAACCAGTTTCTGCCACCAGTCATGCTACCCTAGCCACATTGCTATTATTACTCAAGCTAGTTTTAATCTCATCAGAATGAAGTGAGCTCAGATATGTCTACATGTGCAGCAGTCAATCCTCCTCATTGCAGTGGAGACACACCTTAAGTCTGGACTGTGCCCTCTTTCAACCAGCCTCATTTTAGCTCAGTTTTCTAGGAATAGTCCTGCCTACTTTTGGGATTTTATCATTTAGTTCTGAGCACCAGTGTTCCTTGTAAGCTGAGCACTTAGGTGGCCACCCAGGAGAGATTCTGATGCTGCTCAGCTGATTAGCAGAGTGCCTACAGCCACCCGTACCTGGTATCACGTGTCTCTAATGGTGCTGCACATCTGCACTTGCCTTGGTGCACATAACAAAATTTATACTGCACATGGATGGAAATAATTTGAGGGATCGCTGCTGAGCACATAGTAGAGCAAAAGCTACAGAAGGCTTACATTGCTCAGTCCCCTCTCCTAGCAGTGGCCAGGAATCCATGAGTGAGTTGGCTCTCTGCCTTGAAAGCAGATAGGCTGCGTCTAGATTGGCATGATTTTCCGGAAATGCTTTTAATGGAAAAGTTTTCCGTTAAAAGCATTTTCGGAACAGAGCGTCTAGATTGGCACGGATGCTTTTCCGCAAAAGCACTTTTTGCGGAAAAGCGTTCGTGCCAATCTAGATGCGCTTTTCCGCAAAAAAAGCCCCGCACGCCATTTTCACGCTCAGGGCTTTTTTGCGGAAAACAAATCTGAGCTGTCTACACTGGCCGTTTTGCGCAAAAGGGACTTTTGCCTGAATGGGAGCAGAATAGTATTTCCGCAAGAAGCACTGATTTCTTACAGTAGGAAGTCAGTGCTTTTGCGGAAATTCAAGCAGCCAGTATAGACAGCTGGCAAGTTTTTCCGGAAAAGCGGCTGATTTTCTGGAAAAACTGGCCAGTCTAGACACAGCCATGAAGTTTACTGCTCTCTACTGAGAAATACAAAGCACCAAACTCATATTTAGCTTCGTCCTATGAGATACTCGCTGTTAGTATGAGAGTAACAGACCAATGCAACTTGATTTCTGTGTAATGTTTTTTTCTGCTTTATGGAGCTGAATAAAGACTCACTGAAATCAGTGGAGATTTGAGGAAGGTCTATGGCCTGTGCTGTGCAGGAAGGCTGATTAAATCATCACACTGGTCCCTTCTGGCTTTAGAATCTAGTATGAGTTTGTGAGTTTTCCACTTACTTCAGTGAGTATCTTCCAATCTCTTGCTGTCTGCCATGAATACTCAGTCTCTATGGGCCAGGTGGTCTTCAAAAGTAATTAGATGCCCACTTCCTATTGACTCAGCAGAAATGAACTCAATGGGAGGTAGACAACTGCATCCCTTTGAAGATCTGGGCCATTGCCTATACAGAAGTGACAAAGCCCTTAGGAGCTCATGCAAATGTGTATTTATTATTATAGCTTAGAATACATTTGGTTTATTGTTCAGCACCTCTCAGGGTGTTTCTAGGGATGTGTGTCATGTAAAACAAAGTATAAAATTTTTAAAAAAATTTAGCTTAAAGTGTGATTATAGTCTGAAAAGTAACCATATAAAAATAGAATCTTTTTCCTCAAAAGATTTGCCCCCTCTGTATTTTCAGAGTCAGATCTGCTGACCTTAGTGTTTTTACTATTTTTTTAGTACTGAAAACCTAACACACTTTTGAGTAAGGAAGCTGGATTCTCTTTGAGGTCTCTGATCCTCCCCAGAATTAATTAAGTTACACATGCAAGGCCAAAGTCTGTCTGATTTAGAGAGGACAGTGGGTTTTGCCAGAGGCAACAGAAGGCATCATTTTGCTGACAGAATCTCTTACAGGTGATGGTGTGTGAATCAAAAAGTTTTCACTTTTGGATTTCATTGTGAGACCGTGGAGGAAAATTCTTTCTATAGGATCATATTTGTCCTGGAAATCATGAACCAACAATACACAGAATCCCACAATGTAATTTTTAGAGCTGCTTTTCAGGGCAGAACTACAAGATCTAAACTGCAGTTAGAGTGTTTTCACAACTGCCTTAGCACATTGCCACTTTGCCTTTGGGAATTAATTAAGACATGCTTTGCAATGCATGGAATCATAGAACAAGGTTGCAAACCCTGTAATAAAGACTAGTTTGTTTGACAACCCAACTGCTTTCAGCAGTGTTTTACAAATACCATGTATGTGGCCACATCCCATAGGAAGGTGTTTGAATACAGTTTTTAAATTA